CTCTTCGCTTTACTGGACGCTCCACGTTGCTGTCGCACCCTCCTCCCTTACACCTGGCCAACATTTCCCTTTCCACTTCCCCACTGGAACCCCTCTTTTCCCCTGTGCTCCACTTTCCTTCACGTTCGCTCTCATCCTGGGGTATCCTGGAGCTCCCTACTCTCCGTGTTCCAAGTGTGGCCTCCTCCTGGGTGGGGTGCATTTCCTCCTTTCTCCGCCTTCCTCAGTTCTTCATATTCTAGAGAGTCGCTAGATTTTCCTTGTTCTCCCCGAAAACATAATTCCCACAACCATTAAATAAATCAGAGGAAGGAAAGGGATCCAGGCCTTGTTTTCTGCCTCTTTTTCCGTGTCTGGGGAAGGGGGTGATAATAATTAATAGGGTTTATTTCTGGCCTTCTGGAGCCTGAGGGATGGACACCCCTCTTTTGGACCGGTCAGTGGTGACTCTCCTCTGGCCGCTGAGCCAGAATTCACCATTTTGGCTTGAGCTTTTTAATCCTCTTAGTGTTTTAAGGGAAAACTGGACGGAAAAATGTACCCTTACAGCAGTATCAATGGATTCTGGTTCATCCCGGTGAGGTGCCTAGGAAACACCCTACTCCTAAGCTCCTTCCCCTCCAAAGGATAGACTGTGCCCTTGACTATGAAGGGAGGGGAAGGAGGGAGCAGAGAGGAGGGGCAGTTGGCTGCCCTTTCCCACCCCTAGAGGAACTAGAACCCCACACAGCAGGCTTAAACTTGGGGCCTAGCCGAGGGGTCCCGGTTGTCTGCTCAGTATCTAACCTTTCTTCTTTCCTACCTACTGCACCCTGGAAATGGGTCCCTCATCTTTGATTTTCCAGGAGAAAAACACCCCTATTGCTTTCTTGGGTGCCTGCCCCCATCCCTCCTCTTAAGCGGAGGGGAAAAGAAGCTTGTGTGGGAGGAAGGATTAGGGAGGTTTAACACCCTGCAGGGGAGCTTTGCTGAGGATCTGGTAAGTCTGGTCGTAAAGCAGGCCTTGCAGTGGGACGAGACTCACAAACAATTTTAAGTATTAGAAGATGTTATTCAGGTGTCAGATGTAGTTTTTCCTTCTCTGCCCAGGAACCTTTTCCATTTCCCTAGCTGGGTCTGGTTACTTGGACTTGGATTAGAAGAGGGGTGAGGCTAGGGCCCTGCTGGCGTCGGGCCTTCTGATTGTCCGCGCTCGGCGCCTCCCCGCAGCTTAAAACTCGGAATTTCCTTAGGGGAGAGAACGGGAGAACTCGGTTTAATTCCTGCCTTTTCTTTCCTGGCTGTGAGGGAGACGAGCCCACTGGGCATTAAGTGAAAACGCTCTTTTCTCTTTGAATCCACCGTCCCTACAGCAACTCCAGAGGGAGACCACCCAGCCCAAGGAATACAGATTAAGTGGCAGGGGGCGGGGGCGTGATGTGACCCTATCTATCCCAGCCTACCGACTTCACCGAGAAAAAACTATTAGAAGCTGATCCTTAATTCCAGCAGTCATGGGAGGCGGTGAAAAGGGAGGGGGAAAAAAGTTCAGTTTCTCGAGAAGCCGAGACACAGATAACAGTGAGGCGATACAATAAGGGGAGTCGGTCCTATGGGTAGAATTTATATAAAATGTATTAGGCTGGGGGGGCGGGGGCGCCCGTCGGCCACAGCGCGCATGTGCATCGGAAACTTTTCCTCGGTTCTTCGACCCTCGGCCAGCTCCCTTTAACAGGCATGCGTAGTTCGCCGGCTGAGTCTTCGCGAAGTACGCTGGGAAGTGTAGTGTGCGGAGAAAGTAGGTCACTGCCTCCAACCTGAGCGTGAGGTTTCTGAAGACTACGATTCCCAGAATGCAGAGTGCAGCTTTGCCGCTGGCCTCCGTATCAACGTTGGGGCTCAGTTTAGTCGTCTTGCCCTCGGAGAAACCTGGAGTGATTTAGTAAGGGCCGTTTTTTTACTTGGAAGGGACCTTGTAGTCACTTGGGCTTGCACAGTCTATGTTTGGGGGAGACGGTGTGAGACACTGAGCGAAGTGGTTCGGTCAGTTGGCACAAGTCCTGGAAGCCTTTCAGTCACACCTGCCTGTCTGGGCCTCTGCCTCCGGGACGAGTCGGGTGGGGCTAATCCCCTGTCCCATCTGAGCCCGACTCTCACATCCCAGCACCCGGTTTGTGACACCTACTGGCCTCGTCAAAATTTAGGACCCTGACTCCTCTTTCCACACTCTCTTGAATCTAGTAGTTATTGATTGTAAGACGATTTGGATGTTAAGGCTTGAGGTGTCTGAATATCTTACAGGTACCTAAGTTTTTTCTTCTTCAGAAACCTTCCTTTGTATTTTTGTCAGAAATTCTTTGGAATCACTATTACAATATCATTGACTTGCAGCTGGCTTCCAGCTTCTTTCTCCCCCAAGACATTCTTTTAAGCACTTACTCTTTAAAACAAGTCAACACGGGATCTGAATCCCGGTTTAACTTTGTTTCTCGAAGTAAACAAGTGAAGAAGGATAAGATTTTAAATAAAAGCGGACAGAATTTTACTCTTACATTTGCAACTTTTTAAATATATTGACAAAATGTAGATTTTGCTGTTGTTAAACACTTAACCTCCCCCCACCCCTTTTTGCTACCTTTCTGGCCTTTTGCACCTGAGTCAGGGTTGTGAAAGACCTTAAAAGTCCTCTTTTTGTTCCTTTATGTTGAAAGATGGTTATTTCTAAGCTTTCTAATTTCACCACATTCTATGAATATTTAATATATAAGCCCTAGAATTGTCCATACCCTTAAAAAAAATGAACAAACTGATCTGAGTATCCTTAGTAAAGACAAGGCAGCACCAATGCTTTAATCCTTTGTTCCATAAGCTTCTTGAAGTCAAAATTAGAGCCTGAGCTGATAGAGCAGAAAATCTCATCCTGGTTGTCCGGCATTTTTGTAAGGTTCCACCCCACAGCCATCTGGCCTGGCCTGTTCTCCAATTAAAGAAGCAAAGATGGCATTATATACTTCCTTATTATGTGTAGCAGCATCACTGAGGTATAAATTGGTGTGCAGCTTTAATTGCTTATGCTGCAGAAAATGATTAGCTAGGCAGGGCTGATGACAGTGATTCTATTGTATTTTGGGGTGGGAGGCTTATTTCCCAATGACTTTGGCCTGCATTTAAAATGTTCCCATTTTGAGGCTCAGCTGTTCAGGAGAGGTGAACTTGGAAGGCAGATACGCAGCAAAGTTTTAAAGGCCTTGAAAGGTGTAGGACTGTGTGGACCCAATTCTCATAAACAGAAAGCCCATTATCTTTACTGTTCTCTTTAAACCTAGAAGGACCCTGGAATTGATGTGTAGTGACCATGAATAGACTTTTGAAGACACATGGAGATTAAGTCTTGGAGGCTGAGATGGAGGGAAGGCTAGGGTCTCCTGAATCCTATGCCTCCCTGTGGAGGGCTTGGGAGAGGACATGCCTGTGGCACTTTTGTTGATGCCGTATGTGACTCTCTGTCTACTCAGACCTGAAATGAGGGTGGGACTAGAGCTAGCCACTGTCATCAGATACTCCATATTGACCCAGTGCAGTTTTTTCTGATACCCCAGAGAGCTTTGCCTGAGGAGTCAGTCCTTCAAATGCCCCTAGGATCCATGGCCCCAGGCCTGAGAATTATAGGGAGTTGGAGCAAATGTTCAGAAAGCTCAAGATCCTCAAGTCTAGAATTAGCACTGGATACTCTGTGCTGGACCCAGAGGGATTTTAATTAAAATCCAGCCCCAGATCTATCACAAAACAGAAGATGCCCTTGACGGATCATGGATCAGTCTTGTGTCTGTGCTGGCTTAGCAGCATAGTCTCACCCAGAGTCTCTGTCGGCCCTCAAAGATGGCTCTTTTCAGTTCAGATCTCCCACAGCATGAGCCTAGAGCTGCCCTTTTGGAGAAAGTGAGGAGGTTAGGATCACTGGCTCTCAGGACCTCACAGATCTTCTTCCTGAGACATGAGGCTGGCCCAGACCTCAGGAATAAACCTTTTTGACCTCTGTGGGATCTGGCTGTGAGAGAATCCCAAAATAACAATCTGAGTGTTTAGCTCTCTCCAGGGATCTCCAAACACTTGATAAATCTGGTCCGGTGCCTAGGACAGGTGGTCAGACAGTCCCTGGGAGACTGAGTGATGATGGTCCCCAGCTGGAACCTGTAGGGTGATGGAAAATTTCTTTTCTCTAACCCCTCATCACCTACACTCTAGCCAGAAACTACAGAGATTCCCTCAGGCCATGCCAGTACTGCTCTTAACGCTTTGTTGGCCTACAGCGCCCTGCTTCCATCTCCTTTCCT